ATGGCATTGCCCAACAAGTTTTCTGGAGACAGTCAACGGGTCAAGGACTTCTTGGGACAGTGTGATGCCTATTTCACAGTGCGGAAAGCGGAGTTTCTGAATGAGGCAGCCAAGGTGGGCTTTGCCTACAGTCTGTTGGAGGGCCCGGCCCTCTCCTGGGCCACCGCGCTACGTGAGGCCGCTTCCCCTGTGTGCAACACTGTCAAGGCTTTCATGGATGAACTGCACAAAGTTTGGGGAGGCCAAGTGCACCGGGAGATGGCGGATCGTAAGCTGCGTGCCCTAACGCAAAGAGAGGGGTGTTTGGCCCAATACATTTCGGAGTTTCGTGTATTGCAGCAGGAGCTGGCTTGGAACGATGCCGCCTACATGAGCGCTTTCAAAGCGGGGCTCACCCAGGAGATGCAGTTGGAGGTGGCCCGTTCCGCTGTCCTGGCCAACTTGGAAGAATTAATGACCCTATGCATCCGGATAGATGGAACCATGGCCAATCAACGTCACATCATTGCTGGGCCTCGGCCAGTGGGTCGGAAGAGGGCCGATGCGGGAGTGCCACATCGCTTGGGTCCGCCGCCACCTCCTGCGCCCGATGCAGAGGAACCCATGCAGCTGGGCTCCATGCGCCCCAAAATTGATGCGGCGGAAAAGGCGCGACGGCAACGGCTAAACCTGTGTTGGTATTGTGGGGGCAGCGGGCATATCTCTCGGGAGTGCCCTGTCAAGAAGAAGACAAGCCCCCGCTTGGCGGGGATCTCCGGCTCAGTGGAGCCCGTGGCGCCCCAGGTCCAGGTATCCGGTGAGCAACGGGCCAACCAGCCGGCGGGGGAAGCCAACGACCGAGTTTAGCTGGGCTCGCAAACTCGGTCTCCACCCCATTTCCGGAGCCCGCGACTGGGATGCTGTTTTTTCTCTTGGTTTCGTTTTGTGTGGCCAAAAAGACTCCCACGGCGGTGCACGCGCTGGTCGACTGTGGGGCCACTAACAATTTCATGGACAGTCGGTTTGTGGAGTTCCTTGGATTACAATGTTTAGACCTCCAGCCTCCCCGGGATGTACAAAACTTTGATGGGCGTTTGCTGAAAGCCGGGCCGGTGGCTCGCTATACAGCGCCCATGCTGATGGAAGTCGGGGACCATGCGGAAGAGGTCTCCTTTTTGGTCACGGACCTTCCACATGCCGTGGTGTTGGGAATTCCATGGCTGGCCAAGCA